AACAGTTTTGTTCATGTATGTCTAGGGACTGTAAAACCACTAGAACAGTTTTGTTCATGTATGTCTAGGGACTGTAAAACCAGTAGAACAGTTTTGTTCATGTATGTCTAGTGACTGTAAAACCAGTAGAACAGTTTTTGCACACACAAAATCTGGTCAGAATAAACGCACAAATATATATTAATAAATATGTAAATATATTATTTCTGGAGATTGTCATCAGCCAATCAGTGAAGTCTGCTATTTTTGGCACTAAAGCGACAAGTCGCAAGCTAAGGAACACAAAGTTATTTAAGGCACAAACAATGAAAACTTAACTTTGGTTCAAAGACAGATAATCATGTGGCCAGAAAAGATGCACAACTGAGCTGCATCTTGCAGTCCAATATTTATCACTTTCCAGGAAAGATGCACAACTGGGCTGCATCTTGCAATGCAATATTTATCACTTTCCAGGAAAGATGCACAACTGGGCTGCATTGTGCAATACAATATTTATCACTTTCCAGGAAAGATGCACAATTGGGCTGCATCTTGTTATACAATATTATATCACGTTCCAGGAAAGATGTACAACTGAGCTGCATCTTGAGCATTTACATGACAGTTATCTCCCATCACATAATTATTTTGTTCAGGCAGTGATACATCATAAGGAAGGCAAGGTTAAACAACCTCATTACTATTCTCAAAGAAAACAGTTTATGAGCAACCACAAAGCCAGATTTTTTTTTTAAAACAAACTAGTCTTCAGACAGACTAAAAACATAAATGACATGAATCCTTTCTCAGAATTGCAGGTTATAAGTTTCTTTCAAAAAACAGGAAATTTCCTAGCAAGCAAAGGCTGTCTCTTCTAGCAGAAAGTTATGTTCATTCGTCCACCTCTGGAGTTCAGTCTTGTTTAAGAACTTAAGCATTGCCTATCCATCCACTTTTACAGGTCTGGCTTATTTATATGCAGACTGTTAGTTTCTTGACCCTCAGGCAGATGTACACCAACTTCAACACTGTTAGTTTCTTGCTCCCCAGGCAGATGTACACCAACTTCAACACTGTTAGTTTCTTGACCCTCAGGCAGATGTACACCAACTTCAACACTGTTAGTTTCTTGCCCCTCAAGCAGATGTACACCAACTTCAACACTGTTAGTTTCTTGCTCCCCAGGCAGATGTACACCAACTTCAACAGTGTTAGTTTCTTGACCCCTCAGGCAGATGTACACCAACTTCAACAGTGTTAGTTTCTTGACCCCTCAGGCAGATGTACACCAACTTCATCACTGTTAGTTTCTTGACCCCTCAGGCAGATGTACACCAACTTCAACACTGTTAGTTTCTTGCTCCCCAGGCAGATGTACACCAACTTCAACACTGTTAGTTTCTTGACCCCTCAGGCAGATGTACACCAACTTCAACACTGTTAGTTTCTTGCCCCTCAGGCAGATGTACACCAACTTCAACAGTATTAGTTTCTTGCCCCTCAGGCAGATGTACACCAACTTCAACACTGTTAGTTTCTTGACCCCTCAGGCAGATGTACACCAACTTCAACACTGTTAGTTTCTTGACCCCTCAGGCAGATGCACACCAACTTCAACACTCTTAGTTTCTTGACCCCTCAGGCAGATGTACACCAACTTCAACACTGTTAGTTTCTTGACCCCTCAGGCAGATGTACACCAACTTCAACACTGTTAGTTTCTTGCTCCCCAGGCAGATGTACACCAACTTCAACACTGTTAGTTTCTTGACCCCTCAGGCAGATGTACACCAACTTCAACACTGTTAGTTTCTTGACCCTCAGGCAGATGTACACCAACTTCAACAGTGTTAGTTTCTTGACCCTCAGGCAGATGTACACCAACTTCAACAGTGTTAGTTTCTTGCCCCTCAGGCAGATGTACACCAACTTCAACACTGTTAGTTTCTTGACCCCTCAGGCAGATGTACACCAACTTCAACACTGTTAGTTTCTTGACCCCTCAGGCAGATGCACACCAACTTCAACACTGTTAGTTTCTTGCCCCTCAAGCAGATGTACACCAACTTCAACACTGTTAGTTTCTTGCTCCTCAGACAGATGTACACCAACTTCAAAGGAAACCCCCCTTTTACAGCATGCTTATTGGGGGAGGGGGTGCAATGAGTCTAATCTCTTTCCCTCCAAAAATAGGGCCCCGGAAATCCACAAAGGATTATGGTTAGAATGATTTAACTGCTGGCTTAAAGGGAATCAAAGCCAGTTTTTTTTCCAGTGGCATATTTCTTCAAGAGGTACAAGCCTGTGAACAACTTGAATTGACAACAACAGCTCAAAAAAGAAAACCTGTCACACAAAAACACACAGGCACACCTAATACAATACAGGCCATACCAATTGCTGCTGTTTATAAATTCATTTAGAACAAAGGTTATGACGATGGTGGTGGTTGGTGGTGGTGATGATAAAGTTTATGATGGTGGTGATGGTGGTAGAGGTGATGGCAGTGTTGATGATGGTGGTGGTAATGGTATGATAATGATAACAGTGATGGTGACGATGATGAAAACAACAACAATGATGACGCTGACGAAAATACTCTTGATGGTGTCCATGTTAAACTTCGGGTCAGGAAGTTCAAATAATAAAACCGATAACTGTAAAAAGAAACATAACACAGAATGTTATCGTTATGCTGCTGGATGACATCATCACAACACTGATAGGTGTCAAACTCAAATGCAATCGTGAGTGTAACACCTAGGATTATAAATAAAAATTCACAAACATGCACGCAAACACACACGTGGATGGTGAGTGGCGACTGAGAGTCGGAGAGAAGAAAACTGTGTCCTGCAGTTTCTGGGATGTTGGGGTTGTCACACTATGGTTTGTTTGTTCATGTTTGAGCTCTTGTCTTTGTCACATGGACGTCCTGAAGAGGGAAGAAAAAAATACACTTCTAAGGAACACAATGTTTAGCGTTAAATACCTATTTCTACTTCGTATTGTTCACCGGCTATGAACTTTGGCAGAAATTTCTGGTTGTTCGTCCACTTTTAGACTTTGGTTCTTGCTTCAGTTTTTCATGCCCATCTGTTCTACAGATCTTGCTTATTTGTATGCAGGCTGTTGGTTCCTCGTCTCTTGGGCAGATGCACTCTGACTTCAAAGAAAGGACCCTTAATTAGTTGCCTTTTATGACATGCTTGTTTGTGGGCAGTGGGTCTATTCTTTCTTTCCCCCCAAATGGGGTCCTGGAACCCACACAGGGAAATATAAAATATACCTAATGCACCACCTCCCCCAATAAGCATGCTGTAAAAGGGGTGCTTCCTAATACACTAGTGCAGTCGCTAGCAGGCCTGTTTGCCAGGCTGGCCGTCACATGTCCGAATCTGGTATCGCCATATTTTTTAAATTTACTTTGGTTCAGTTTTCGACCTAGAAGAAGACAAGAGAGGAGAAAAAGCGGCAGTTCTTCTTTGTCTGCGGTCATCCTTAAAAGGGTGGTTGGTACACTAGTCTTGTGGTTTACAGCAAGGCTCTCAGCCCATCTGATTTCACCAAAGCCTTTTAAGGCATGCTTGTTGGGGGCAAAGAGACTTTTCTACAAATAGGGCCCTAGAATCTACATGGGGGGGGGGGGGGGGGGGGGGGGGGGGGGGGGCAGAAAGTGAAAGCAGGAGAAACAACTATTAAGTGGCTCAGAAAGTTCACAACTGTCCCGTGTTGGTTTAGTTGCCCCATTTATGTAGGTGGGATGGGAGAATAAATCCACTAAACCCCTAATAAGCCTTCAGAAAAGTAGATTAATTAGGAGTGTTTCCTTTTAATTAAGTGACAGTGCATCTGCCTGAGAGGGAAGAAAGCAACAGTTTGAATATAAAAGAGCCAGATCTGTTAAATGGATGAACATACACATCTCAAGTTCTGGAACACAACCAAAGTCCAGAAGTGAATGAACAACAGAACTTTCCACCAGAGTTAACCAGAGAAAGCAACCAACAAAGAAGAAGAAGAAAAAAAAGAAGAAGAAGAAGAAGAAGAAGAAGAAGAAGAAGAAGAAGAAGAAGAAGAAGAAGAAGAAGAAGAAGAAGAAGAAGAAGAAGAAGAAGAAGAAGAAATATGAAGCTGCCAGCTCCATCATCTTCAGATACTGCAGTCAGTACCTCACACATCAGTACCTCACACATCAGTACCTCACACATCACTACCTCACACATCAGTACCTCACACATCAGTACCTCACACATCAGTACCTCACACATCACTACCTCACACATCAGTACCTCACACATCAGTACCTCACACATCAGTACCTCACACACCAGAACCTCCCACACCAATGAAGAAACATCTTCCAACCACTAGGTGGCCTGGCTATCAGCTATTTATACAGTAACACCTTGTTCACACAAGCTAGCTTAAGAAGAACCCTTAACTAACATGAACGCCCTGTTAACACAAACTAGTTTAAGAAGAACCATCAATTAACAGTTACACCTTGCTAACACAAACTAAGAAGAACCCTCAATTAACAGTAACACCTTGTTAACACAAACTAGCGTAAGAAGCTGCCTCAATTAACATGAACACCCTGTTAACACAAACTAGTTTAAGAATCACCAACAGTTAACATGAGCAAAATGTTAGTCCCTGCAGAAATGTTTTATTATGAGTCCCCGGTTAGCACACATATTTTAAACACACACTCTTGATTTGTAGGTCCCTTGGAATTTGCATTAACAACACTGAACTGTATACCAGGTAGTATCTAAAGAGTAATGCCATATCTCAACATCCATCATCACTGATCAGATGTTCTGGTATCCATTTTACACTGGGGAAACCTGTGAACGCAGGTAAACTGTTTACAAATACCTGTCTTGGTCTGGATTCGAACACATGATCAAGGGGCTGGCAGCCTCCACACACACAATGTTTCCAGCCAACAACGCAGTGTTAAACAATTGTTGGAAAAAACACAAGACAGAAAGAAACACTGAGGTTACCTGCTATTTCTTGAAAATCTTAAACAGTTTGGATTTTTTACTGGAGGGCGGTGCCATGAGCATGGGAACCTGGTTCTTGTGGCTGATGTAGATCTACAGAGATAACAAATACAACACCAATATAAAGATGCGAGCAAGTGGGGCATGAGAGATACAGGTATTGAGGTAGATTGGTGGGAACAAAATGCCATGGACTGTGTTAGGTAGATGTGGAAAATCAGCAAGGCAAAAGGAATAAAGGAAACAAATGAGTGCAGAAAGGTTGAGAAGAAGCAGACTAAATACCTGTGATGGCATCAGTAGTCTTGAAATCCCATGCTCTAATTCTGGAAAATATGTCCTAACATCAGCAGGTTGTGCTATTCATACTTGACATCACCATGAGGTGTGATTCTCATTCCCCTCCCACAGCACAATACTATCATCTGGAAAGTCTTGCTTGTCACAGTGGCCACCATGAGGTGTGATTCTCATTCCTCTCCCACAGCGCAATACTATCATCTGGAAAGTCTTGCTTGTCACCGTGGCCACCATGAGGTGTGATTCTCATTCCTCCCCCATAGCACACAATATAACATTATTGTCTGGAAAGTCTTGCTTGTCACACTTACCGCCATGAGGTGTGATTCTCATTCCTCCCTCAAAGCACAATATAACATTATTGTCTAGAAAGTCTTGCTTGTCACACTTACCACCATGAGGTGTGATTCTCATTCTTCCCTCAAAGCACAATATAACATTATTGTTTGTAAAGTCTTGCTTGTCACACTTACCACCATGAGGTGTGATTTTCATTCCTCTCCTATAGCACATTATAACATTATTGTCTTTAAAGTCTTGCTTGTCACACTGGCCACCATGAGGTGTGATTCTCATTCCTCTCCCATTGCACAATATAACACTACCATCCAGAAAGATGGGAAGGTGCAATCCTATTCTGGCTTGAAATTCATGAGAAGATCACACAGAATAGAGAGGTACTGAAATGTTGAAATCAGAAGGGAAGCAGGGAGAGGCAGTAACAGCCCTGGATTTCCATAGAAATTAATGATGACATCATGTGAAATGGAAAGGGGGGGTAGGGGGGTATGACCAACAAGCAAGCTGGTGTGCCACAAATATTCCCCAGCCATACCCAGTTTTATCTTTTTATAGAGAGATCTATGTGTTTTAATGCTGATGCTTGACAAACATGAAGTGGAATCCTCAAGTCTTAAGACAATGACATACAAGTGAAGTGACTGGATATAAACCAGATCTGGGGGCCGTGATATGTACAGTACAAGTGAAGTGATTAGACAAAAGCCAGATCTGGGGGCGAGGATATGTACAGTTTGAGTGAAGTGATTGGACAAAAGCCAGATCTAGGGGTGAGGATATGTACAGTACAAGTGAAGTTATTGGACAGTGAAAACAGAAGACTCTTGCATTAGGGACACCTACCGTACAGGGCGGCTGCATCCAAGGTTCTCCATCTATCTGCATGGGCACTCTCTTTCGGGTCCTGGTGAACAAGAAACATAGACAACTGTGAACCGACATAAACAGCAACTGGCCCCAGAGACAGAAATACTCTAGACGTCATAAATGTCACAGACAAAGGTAAACCTCTGGCAACAAATGCCTGAAGGAGTCAGGTGTGTCCGCAGAAAGGTGCAGATATCGCAGACATGCTTAAATTGGCACGATGCATTTTTATACTCTGATGGATACAGAAAAAGACAAGGATGAGGAGGAGGATGAGGAAGGACAAGAAAAAAGAAGAAATAATTACACAGTGGCTGGACTCCTGATAAGATGTCAACCACATGACAGCAGCCTGCTAGTAATTTCTGACTAATTTGTTAACTGTCCAGGATTCACTTCCACTGTCCAGGATTCACTTCCACTGTCCAGGATTCACTTCCACTGTCCAGGATTCACTTCCACTGTCCAGGATTCACTTCCACTGTCCAGGATTCACTTCCACTGTCCAGGATTCACTTCCACACACAAGAACAACTTTTTTTGCTGCTTCTTCTTTTTTTTTTTGTTCACTTGATGTAAACCCTGGTGGAAAGTCCTTGTTGTTCATCCTCTTCTGATCTTTGGTTTTGTTTAACGACTCGTTTTGCAGATATGGTTTATTTGTGTGCAGGCTGTTGGTTGCTTGCCACTCTGACTTCAAAGGAAATGTCGATCCTATCTATGTTAGCCAGGCACCCTGTTGGGAACCGGTTTCTAAGAGGACTGTGGAGACACGTTAATAAATCTTGAAAGTATGCGGGCTGGTCCTGGTACACCAGCACGTGGGGGTCAGCACTCACCTGTGCATCCCACATTCATCTGACTCTATTTACCTTCAAATTATATTCTCATCTCTATTACTTTTGCATCCCAAACAATGCTCTAGATATTTTTCATTTACACCAATTTACATTTTATAAACGTACTTACATTTTGCATTCAGTTAAGAACTTAAAAGAATCATGAAAACGTATTTATTTCCTACAGGGATATTTGTTTGGCTCTTTTGGAAGTGATGTTACATTATCACAATCAACATCACTGCACACGGGGGCATTCCCATGCCTGTTTAGTCCTCAGATGTAGCAGCCAAGCCATGAGTGTGTTGCTCTTGTTGCGGTCTTATTGGGGCTTTAACTACAGACTACATGGACTGGATGAGCTAACAAAGACATGTCACATAAAATATTCTGCAACTTTTGCAACGATCAACGGTAATGGTCTTCTATCAACAGAAGAAGAGAACAATCAAATCAATCAGAAGCAAGCAAAACCGGCACAAGACAATTACAATATAATGGATGGACCAGAGCAAGTTATTATTCTACACCTCTAAACAGGATACAACTGATTTTGCAGCCACATGTACACACAATATAAGACTGCCAAATCAGCCTTACATGTGGATTCGCACTTGAGACAACAGATCACATCCTCCAAAACTGTCCCAAATACAAAATATTGTGGCAAAACTTTTAGCTAGGAGAAACACCGCTTGAAGCCAAACTTTTTGGGTCACTGAGTGAATTACAACAGACAGTCAACATTATAGATATAGATGATCTATTTTGAGTGAATAAAATATTAAGAAAAAGAAGCAATGAGCCACAAGCTGAGTGATAGTAATGTGAGGGAGTATACAGGTGTTTTCTCACCTGACAAGTAGAGAGAATTAGTGTGCAGGTGCTTTCTCACCTGATGAGTACAGAGAACGCGTATGCAGGTGCTTTTTCACCTGACGAGTACAGAGAACGAGTGTGCCGGTGCTTTCTCACCGGATGAGTACAGAGAACGAATGATATCTCACCTGATGAGAAAAGAGGGTAAGAAAATAGGTGGCTTCTCACCTCCATTAACAATTATATGACACATAAAATATTCTTCCTCTTATGCCATGTTATAATAAGCCACCAGATCAGTAAAGAGAGAATATATGCAGGTGGTTTCTCAGCTTCAATAATTCAGATATGTCCTAAAATGTCTTCTCCTTGGAAAACACATCACCAAGCCACCAGATGAATCAAGAAAGGGATTGCAAGGACAGTTTCTCACCTAATAACCACTTGTGAGCACTGAGCCAGGCGCTTGCCTGATGCCCTGAGACCTGCATACACCTGACCCACATGGAATATGTTCTCCAAACCGACGACTTCAATCATAGAGTCACCCACATCTGGGAAAACAAGCAATAATTATTTTAAAATAGGTAAATAACACTGGCGTCAATTATAGTCACCCACACCTGAAAGAATCAGCAATAATTATCTTAAAATACATGAATGACACCCATGTCAATCATGCAATCATCCACATCTGAAAGAATCAGCAATAATTATCTTAAAATACATGAATAACAGTGAATTGGTGAAACAGTAAATGGATCCCTTTCCCTCTTCTTTGTGTTTACCGGCTGTAAACTCTGATGGAAAGTTCTGGTTGTTCATCCACTTCTAGGCTTTGGTCTTGTTCCAGAACATGGATTTTGTGCTAACATTAATTTTACAGATCTGACTTATTTGTATGCAGACTGTTGGTTTCTTACCTCTCATGCAGATGCACTTCAGGTGAAGGAAACACTCCTAATTAGCAATCTTTTATGACATGCTTGTTGACGAGCAGTGTTTCTCCTAAACTCACATCTCTGACCCCCACACCATTAGCTACAGCCACTACCAGCCCCTCCCCCCTACACCCAACTAAATCTGTAGCTCCACTACAACTTGACACACATCCCCAACAAACATCACATCTGTAGCTCCACCACAACTTGACAAACATCCCCAACAAACATCACATCTGTAGCTCCACTACATCTTGACATACATTCTCAACAATCATCACTACTGTAGCACCACCACAGCTTGACAAACATCCCCAACAAACATCACAACTGTAGCTCCACCACAGCTTGACACATCCCCAACAAACATCACATCTGTAGCTCCACTACAACTTGACACACATCCTTCACAAACATCACATCTGTAGCTCCACTACAACTTGACACACATCTCCAACAAACATCACATCTGTAGCTCCACCACAACTTAACACACATCTTCAACAAACATCACATCTGTAGCTCCACCACAACTTGAAACACATCCTTAAAAAATATCACATCTGTAGCTCCACCACAACTTGACACACATCCCCAACAAACATCACATCTGTAGCTTCACCACAACTTGACACACATCTCAACAAACATCACATCTGTAGCTTCACCACAACTTGACACACATCCCCAACAAACATCACATCTGTAGCTTCACCACAACTTGACACACATCCCCAACAAACATCACATCTGTAGCTTCACCACAACTTGACACACATCTCAACAAACATCACATCTGTAGCTCCACCACAACTTGACACACATCCCCAACAAACATCACATCTGTAGCTTCACCACAACTTGACACACATCTCAACAAACATCACATCTGTAGCTTCACCACAACTTGACACACATCCCCAACAAACATCACATCTGTAGCTTCACCACAACTTGACACACATCCCCAACAAACATCACATCTGTAGCTTCACCACAACTTGACACATCCCCAACAAACATCACATCTGTAGCTCCACCACAACTTGACACACATCCCCAACAAACATCACATCTGTAGCTCCACCACAACTTGACACACATCTCAACAAACATCACATCTGTAGCTCCACCACAGCTTGACACACATCTCAACAAACATCACATCTGTAGCTCCACCACAGCTTGACACACATCTCAACAAACATCATATCTGTACCTCTACACGGTACCCCCCGGCCACCACACAGCCCCACACCACCAGAATCCCAGCCAACTCCACATCCCCAAAAGACCATAACATCCAACATATCCCCATCACCAAACTCAAACATCACATCCCCACATCCATCATCACATCCCCACATCCATTATCACATCCCCACACATCCATGATCCAACATTACATGCCCACACATCCATTATCACACCCCACACATCCAACATCACACATCCATCTTCACACCCCCACACATCCAACATCACACCCCCACACATCAAACATTACACCCCCACACATCCAACATCACACCCCACACATTTAATCACCACACCTCTACACATCCAACATTACACCCCCCACACATCCATCATCACACCCCCACACATCCAACATTACACCCCCACACATCCAACATCACACCACCACACCTCTACACATCCAACATCACACCTCTACACATTCAACATCACATCCCCACACATCACACCCACACACATCACACCCCTACAAACTAACAATCTGTGACACCTACTCTGAACAGCAATAGCTAACTCAGCCGATGACATGCTGCTGGTAGAGAACTCCCGATCCTTGTCTTTCTTGGTTTTCTGGGCCTTTCTTCTCTTCTTCTGGCTGGGGTTATCTCCCCACAAGTTGGTGCCGCCATAAATAGAAGGGATATTCAAGATGGCGATGCCTTCCAAACTTGGACCATTGGCCAGGTCTAAAGAACAACCGTCACACTGGTGAGACAAAGAAACAAGGTTGAACTTAACTTTTGCCATACTGAGGAGCAAATATAGCTAGATATACTAGAGACATAAAACATGACCAAACTGTATCTTAAAACAAGATATAAGTAGTTGAAATTTATCATACTGACAAAACGAAACACAGTGCTTGTTTAATCCTGTATCTCCTAACATAGGTTGTAGAGTAGGGTTGAGCAACCCTTTTTTTTTCATTCGTCCGCAGACCAAATTCAGAATTCTGAACCTGGTCATAGGCCACATTGAAAATTTTTTTTTTTTAAATCCACTATAAACATTACAGCCAGATTTCCCTGTAACATTATATTATACACTCACCCAATGAAGCTCTTCTATATATTCCCAAATGTGTCCGTTTAAGCTGGTTTCAGAAATCATTTTACTAAGGGAAAATTTTGGGGGGAAGGGGAAAGAACCAGATTATAAAGTCATTTTACACTGGTCTTGCGGGTCAGTATAAATTATAGGGTGGGCCAGTTTTGGCCCTAGGGTCATAGTTTGTCCACCCATGGCCTAGAGACACCTTATGGACTTATATTTATCCTTTCAGGGAACCACGGTAGTGCAAAGAATGAGAGATCAACGGTTCTGAGTTTGAATCTCCATCAAAACTGATTTGTATAACTAATCTAGGGCTCCCAGGAGCATGAAATGGGTACAAGGATTTGTGCTAGGAAGTAAAAGTGACCGGGTGTCAACTACATCACCCATCAAGTGACAACTTGTTGCTGTCGGTCCCTTTCCATCGTTTCAGACAACAGTGTAATATTGTGCTATCATGAAGCATGGGATTCACAGCCTATGGTGAGGGTGAGGGTGGGAGTTTCACAACCTTTGTTGACATCACATGTACGAGGGGTGGTTTAAAAAAAAAGTAATACCTTCTGTTTTTTTTATCTATGTAAATACTTTATCGTTGTATCCTCATCCTCTGTGTGTGCTGTTAGACGTCACATAGGGCTCGTATTTGATTTCTCCACTCCGCTTTATTGCAGGCAACTTTCTCAATTTCTGACAGGGAGTTCAGCCCAGCATTTTTTTGGGGGGGCCTCTACTGTATTGTTGTGTGCAATTTGTAACTTTAGCAAGATTCCTAAGATGCTCTTCTGCACTGTACAGCCTTACCAAGATGATTCAGTGATAAGTGGCACCACTGTAACAGTTTATAAACGGGTTCCAGAGGTGTTCAATTAAAACTATGTAGTGATATCACACAATTCCACAGTGCTGAAAGTTATATCCATCTATCTTAAGCAGCCAGGGAAGAGTTCTGATACTAATGGTGCCAGTAGCATGTTTGGATGTTTAATTGTTTACTGGGGAATGGGGGGGGGGTTACAGACCTGACCTAAGGCTGGTGATTGCACAAGGTGACAAATTACCACTGCTCAAACTTACCGACATGCAATATGATAAAATCAATAGTACTTGGATGTTACTAGGCTGAATGTTGAATTAAGAATCAACATCACAGCACTCAGGACACTCCCATAAGTGCTCCTTCAGCAGCAAACGAAGAGTTCCAATTCCGATGGCACTAGTAGTGGTACTGTACATCCTTCTCTCCCTTTCCTTGAGTGTTGAGTGTTGGCCAGATCCCTGGTAACTCCTCGCAGTGCCATTCTCCTCAGACCGTAATGATCTGTTTGTACCTCCTCACCGTTCACTTGCTTCCAAAGGGCCCTCACAACATCCAGCTTGTCATACCAAGTGCTGCAAAACCGGCCACTCTGTCTGCTTCCCCATTTCCCAACACACTAGCATAGAGAAAATATCCAAAGGACACTAGCTATCCAAGACCTCTAAAGCAATGCTTGCCATTCTGCACACAGGAAGCCTGTCTCCACCCTTCTCAAAGTTAAGTTGAGTCAAGAATTGACATCACAGCACTTGCAAGCTCCATCCTCCTCTTCAGCAGCCAGCGCACAGTTTCAATACTGATGCTACCGGTCACAATCTGGTTACATGTCCGTCTTGCCTTTGCTCTTAGTGTAGTTAGCCGGCCAGACCCTTTGGTTACATCCAGGTACCTCATTCTCTCCAGGCCATAATAATCTTGTTTCTCTACTAATTCTGTTGCTTGTTCCCAAAGGGCCTTGACCACATCTGCCTTGTCATGTATCAATTCACCACCAAGTGGTGCAGATATGTAAGTCAATTACAATTACGACAATTACCAGGTAAAACCATGAGACAACAAGTACTGCAGCCGGCATCTTACCATGATGTCAATGTCCTCGTGCAGGTTTTTACAAGTGGATGAGAAGAATTGTTCCGATGTGCTGAACTCAAAGTACCACAGCTTGTTCTTCATTCTAGAATGTAAAGTGATTACATTAACTGTCGAGCACGATAGCAAGTGATAACAGTAACCAATAATACATGACAGTAACTGATCAAACATAATAGAAAGTGATCAATAAGACAGTAAGTGATGAATTTGACAGTAACCAATAACACATTACAGTAACTGATCAAACATAACAGTAAGTGATCAATAAGACAGCAAGTTATGAATATGACAGTAACCAATATATGATGACAGTAACTGATCAAACATAATAGAAAGTGATCAATAAGACAGCAAGTAATGAATATGACAGTAACCAATAATATATGATGACAGCAACTGATAAAACATAATAGAAAGTGATCAATAAAACAGTAAGTGATGAATATGACAGTAACCAATAACACATGACAGTAACTGATCAAACATAACAGTACGTGATCAATAAGACAGCAAGTTATGAATATGACAGTAACCAATAGTATATGATGACAGTAACTGATCAAACATAATAGAAAGTGATCAATAAGACAGCAAGTAATGAATATGACAGTAACCAATAATATATGATGACAGTAACTGATAAAACATAACAGTAACCAATAACACATGACAGTAACTGATCAAACATAACAGTAAGTGATCTATAAGACAGCAAGTTATGAATATGACAGTAACCAATATATGATGACAGTAACTGATCAAACATAATAGAAAGTGATCAATAAGACAGCAAGTAATGAATATGACAGTAACCAATAATATATGATGACAGTAACTGATCAAACATAATAGAAAGTGATCAATAAGACAGTAAGTGATGAATATGACAGTAACCAATAACACATGACAGTAACTGATCAAACATAACAGTAAGTGATCTATAAGACAGCAAGTTATGAATATGACAGTAACCAATATATGATGACAGTAACTGATCAAACATAATAGAAAGTGATCAATAAGACAGCAAGTAATGAATATGACAGTAACCAATAACACATGACAGTAACTGATCAAACATAACAGTAAGTGATCAATAAGACAGCAAGTTATGAATATGACAGTAACCAATAATATATGATGACAGTAACTGATCAAACATAATAGAAAGTGATCAATAAGACAGCAAGTAATGAATATGACAGTAACCAATATATGATGACAGTAACTGATCAAACATAATAGAAAGTGATCAATAAGACAGAAAGTAATGAATATGACAGTAGCCAATAATATATGATGACAGTAACTGATCAAACATAATAGAAAGTGATCAATAAGACAGAAAGTAATGAATATGACAGTAACCAATAATATATGATGACAGTAACTGATCAAACATAATAGAAAGTGATCAATAAGACAGCAAGTAATGAATATGACAGTAGCCAATAATATATGATGACAGTAACTGATTAAACATAATAGAAAGTGATCAATAAGACAGCAAGTAATGAATATGACAGTAACCAATAATATATGACAGTAACTGATCAAACATAATAGAAAGTGATCAATAAGACAGTAAGTGATGAATATGACAGTAACCAATAACACATGACAGTAACTGATCAAACATAATAGTAAATGATCAAAAAGACAGCAAGTAATAAATATGACAGTAACCAATAATATATGATGACAGTAACTGATCAAACATAATAGTAAGTGATCAAAAAAGACAGCAAGTGATGAGCATGTTTCACTGTGTCAAGACCGAGATTCAAAATTGTTTCAGGTGACCATAGACCACATTAGTTTATGCCAGTGATTCCCAAACTGTGAGCCCCGGGGAGCAGCAATCTCTTCACAGGGGCACTGTGAAATATTTGAAGAGACACAAGTTTTTTGTGTGTAAGTGTTTTTTTTAATTTTGTATCTCTTACATATAAAAAGTCATACCTTTACTTAGGTTAGGGTGCCATGGACTCATTTTAATTGAAAAAAGGCACCAGTACGGAGAAATGTTTGGGAAATTGGTTTATGCTGTATTTGGTATAATCCAACACTTTGTGTTGCTTGCCTACATTTACAGACTGCTGACAATCTACATATATCTTGAGATCTGTGTACATGAATAAATGAATGAATGAATGAATGAATGAATGAATGAATGAATGAATGAATGAATGAATGAATGAATGAATGAATGAATGAATGAATGAATGAATGAATGAATGAATGAATGAGACAATAACTTGTTATTAATAGAAAGGCAAACTGTACAGACCTGCTGTTGAACTTCTCTGGATGTTTCTCCCTCATGATATGGAATCTGTGACATATTGAGGCATCCTATGGATATTAAATTGGGCCATTAACTTATTAATACAACTGATGATGTTGCTATGAGAGAGTAGAGATAGACTGGACCATTTAGCTAATAATACAACTGATGATGTTGCTTTGAGAGAGTAGTCATAGACTGCACCATTTAGCTAAGAATACAACTGATGATGTTGCTTTGAGAGAGTAGTCATAGACTGCACCATTTAGCTAAGAATACAACTGATGATGTTGCTTTGAGAGAGTAGAGATAGACTGCCCCATTTAGCTAAGAATACAACTGATGATGTTGCTATGAGAGAGTAGAGATAGACTGCACCATTTAGCTAAGAATACAACTGATGATGTTGCTATGAGAGAGTAGTCATAGACTGCACCATTTAGCTAAGAATACAACTGATGATGTTGCTATGAGAGAGTAGAGATAGACTGCCCCATTTAGCTAAGAATACAACTGATGATGTTGCTATGAGAGAGTAGTCATAGACTGCCCCATTTAGCTAAGAATACAACTGATGATGTTGCTATGAGAGAGTAGAGATAGACTGCCCCATTTAGCTAAGAATACAACTGATGATGTTGCTTTGAGAGAGTAGAGCTGCCCCATTTAGCTAAGAATACAACTGATGATGTTGCTTTGAGAGAGTAGTCATAGACTGCACTATTTAGCTAAAAATACAACTGATGATGTTGCTTTGAGAGAGTAGTCATAGACTGCACCATTTAGCTAAGAATACAACTGATGATGTTGCTATGAGAGAGTAGAGATAGACTGCACCATTTAGCTAAGAATACAACTGATGATGTTGCTTTGAGAGAGTAGTCATAGACTGCCCCATTTAGCTAAGAATACAACTGATGATGTTGCTATGAGAGAGTAGTCATAGACTGCACCATTTAGCTAAGAATACAACTGATGATGTTGCTATGAGAGAGTAGAGATAGACTGCACCATTTAGCTAAGAATACAACTGATGATGTTGCTATGAGAGAGTAGTCATAGACTGCCCCATTTAGCTAAGAATACAACTGATGATGTTGCTTTGAGAGAGTAGAGCTGCCCCATTTAGCTAAGAATACAACTGATGATGTTGCTTTGAGAGAGTAGTCATAGACTGCACCATTTAGCTAAGAATATAACTGATGATGTTGCTATGAGAGAGTAGTCATAGACTGCACCATTTAGCTAAGAATACAACTGATGATGTTGCTATGAGAGAGTAGTCATAGACTGCACCATTTAGCTAAGAATACAACTGATGATGTTGCTTTGAGAGAGTAGTCATAGACTGCACCATTTAGCTAAGAATACAACTGATGATGTTGCTTTGAGAGAGTAGAGATAGACTGCACCATTTAGCTAAGAATACAACTGATGATGTTGCTATGAGAGAGTAGAGATAGACAGCACCATTTAGCTAAGAATACAACTGATGATGTTGCTTTGAGAGAGTAGTCATAGACTGAACCATTTAGCTTAGAATACAACTGATGATGTTGCTTTGAGAGAGTAGTCATAGACTGCACCATTTAGCTAAGAATACAACTGATGATGTTGCTTTGAGAGAGTAGAGATAGACTGCACCCTTTAGCTAAGAATACAACTGATGATGTTGCTATGAGAGAGTAGAGATAGACAGCACCATTTAGCTAAGAATACAACTGATGATGTTGCTTTGAGAGAGTAGTCATAGACTGCACCATTTAGCTAAGAATACAACTGATGATGTTGCTTTGAGAGAGTAGAGATAGACAGCACCATTTAGCTAAGAATACAACTGATGATGTTGCTTTGAGAGAGTAGTCATAGACTGAACCATTTAGCTTAGAATACAACTGATGATGTTGCTTTGAGCAGCTAAGAGCAAACCTGGCACCCAGGCATTACGAAGCAAGTTTGCAATGCCTAAGCCCCAGATGCTAACAGTATTTACAACTTCTCAGGTATAGGCAGAGGGTCTTTGAGTCTGAGGATTTAGCTAGTGCTGTCACCACCGACTGAAGGTTAGGAATTTTTTTTTAAAAGAATAGACCAGCACACGCAACACTCAGGTCCTGGAGCAGGACTGCAGTCCAGAAGTGGACAAACAGCCTGAACTTTCCACCAGAGTTTAAAGCTGGTAAACGCAAAGAAGAAGAATATTTATTTCCTCCAACAGAACAAAATCCCTAACCTTACTGTGAATTTGAACCTGGCTCTCCCACATCTTCCTCTTTCTCACACATATAGAATTTAATGTGGAGAACATGACATGACTTACCACAACAAAAGAGAAATAATTGTTGCTATTATATAGTATAGTAACTATATAATAGCAACAATTATTTCTCCGTCCTTCTCGCTTCTCTCGCCCTCAATCCCTTTTTTTTCCCCTCCCTCTCTTTCTCAAACATGTAGAATTTAGTGCGGAAACATGACACGACTTACCACAAGGATAGAGAAAAGAAATTGTTAATATTATAAGGTATAGAATCCCCCTCCTGCTCATCCTTCTCTCTCCTTCCTCCTCTCTTCTCTCGACCTCACCTCCTCTTTTTTCCCTCCCTCTCTCTCTCTCTCACTCATATACAATTTAACACAGATAACATCTCATGACTTACCACACCAATAGAGAAATAATTGTTGATAATATTATATGGTATAGGATCCCCCTCCTGCTCGTCGCAATCTTCTGGTTTGCTAAACTCAATCTTCCACCTGGAGAAATAGGAAATCACTGTGAAAACCTACCTTTGTGTCTGTCTGTGTGTTTGTGTGTGTGGATGTGTGCGTGTGCGCGCGGGTGTGAACATAAAAAGATCTGTCTATGTATTCAACTGTGCGTGTGTGTGTGTGCGTGTGTGTGCATGTGCATGAGTGTCTGCATGCATGTATGCGTGTGAAAATATTTGCCACACATGGCAACTAATATATGTGCTGCATTTAGCAACTGATGTATATGCTACATTTAGCAACTGATGTATATGCTACACTTGGCAACTGATGTATATGCTACACTTGGCAACTAATGTATATGCTACATTTGGCAACTGATGTATATGCTAGATTTGGCAACTGATGTATATGCTACATTTGGCAAATGATATATATGCTACATTTGGCATCTGATGTATGTGCTACATTTGGCAACTAAAATATGTGTTTTAATTGGCAACTAATATATGTGTTTAATTGGCAACTAATATATGTGTTTTAATTGACAACTAATATATGTGTTTTAATGGCAACTAATATATATGTATTTTAATTGGCAACTAATATATGTATTTTAACTGGCAACTAATATATGTGTTTTAATAAACAACTAATATATGTGTTTTAATTGGAAACTAATATATGTGTTTTAATTGGCAACTAACATATATGTTTTAATTGACAACTAATGGGACTGAGCCTCGAGAGGCAGGGGGTAAGAAGTGTTGGTGTTGTGGGTAGTGGGTCCCCCCCCCCCCTTACTTCACCCTAGGTCTAGTGAATATCTGTTCATGAAAGGAGCGTCCATTGTGGTGTCAGCCTCTTGACCTAGCAAAACCTCTCTTACCTCAAGACCATTGTGCGTGGCGAAGAGTCACAGCCTCCCCGAGGTAGTCTTGGTAACTGGGGGTGCAAATTCCCAGGCAAAACACAATGGATCTAGAGGAGCAAACCTCGATAATAAACCCGGTGTACCACACTGTACTGCCCCCTGTGGGAGGGAAGGAGCCAGAGGTGTGCTGAACAGTCTTAGGAATGGAAACAAGTATGCTAACCCCCCTGAATACCGGAAACTATTGTGAAGGCACAGGGACTCAGGACGTGACGATCCAGTTGCCCCAACTACTCATGCTTAGGCCATGCTTAGAGCCATGAAGAGCTCAGCGAAACCTGCAGGCAATCTGGTGGCGGGGAATGAGCACACTGTGAGCCCCACCTTAGCTACGTGTTAAAGGGGAAGGCAGAAACACAACCCATATTTCCTTTAGAACTGGTACAGGGCATTTCTAGCTGCTGCCCGGGGAGGTAGGTAATCCACAGACACCCCAGCACCACAATGCCATGAATATGTCAAAATTTAAGAATACATACGAGATCGGTCGTCGCCTCGTCTATCAAGGCCCGCGCCAGACAGTGGGAAACCAGGCTGTCATGTGCGAAAAATTGGCTACTGGAAAATTTGAAATAAATAGGAAAATCAGACACCCCAGGAGGAGGAAGAGTGGGAGGGAGAGCAAAGAGAACTCAGACAGCACAGCAAAAAATACACAGATGCTCAATATTCTGCAGCTGAACATCTGTGGAATAAGAAATAAGAAACTTGAACCATAAAACCCTTCTTGTTGGTGACTTCAACGGACACTCGCCACGTTGGGGTTACCCTGACTACAATAGCACAGGGAAATACATCGAAGATACTTGTGAAACAACTAACCTATTAGTGCTGCAGGACACAGAGTCTACACCTACACTGTTACACAGGGCCCACCTATCTCTCAGCCGACCAGACCTGACCATCTGCTCATCCGATTTAGCAGACGCAAGCTATCCCCAAGTCCTGGACTACATAGGAAGTGACCACAAACCTATACTCACAACTGTAAGCACCACCGCTAAATTACGCTTCAAGCAGAGAACCCGTTGGAATTTCCGAAAAGCAGAAAAAGAAGTCCGAACTAAATTGGTAGGCGAGGAAACCAAACAGTCCGACCCAATCGCTCTTATGAACTCATCACTAAAGACCATTGATTCTTACCCCCAAGAATGGATACATGTCTATACTGATGGATCAGCATTTAAAGCTACCATTAAAGCAGGTTACGGAATCTACATAGGTTATCCCGATGGATCTGTTGAAGAGATTTTTGATGCATGCGGAGAATTCTGTTCAAACTATGAAGCTGAAATAATTGCACTGGAAACAGCAGTATACCACCTAAAGACTGTAATGGATGTTTACCCTTCAAAGGTCCAAAATATTGTCATCTTCAAAGATTCAATGTCTGCCCTTCAAGCTCTGGAGGGCAGTGAATGCTGCAGAACTGATATAGCCAAGATAATCCTGGATGCTGATCAGCTTATTACCTCATACAACATCAGAATAGTGATGCAGTGGATTCCAGGTCACTCCGGCACACCAGGTAATGACAGAGCTGACAGATTGGCAAAGAAAGGAGTAACACAAGAACAACCACCTACAGCGACAACCCTCCAGACAGCAAAAACACTGATAAGAGCTATAAACAAAGAGACTTGGTTGAACAGATGGGCCATGGGAGACACTGGAAGAGAGGTTTATAGACATATGTCTGGCCCTGATCCTAATGACAGCATTAACCATCTAACAAGAAGGGACCATCTTCAGACTTAGAACGCAACATACTCCACTCAATGGACACCTAAACAGAATACAGCCACAACACTCCCTAGAGTGCCAGCTATGTAACTACCCCTACGAAACTGTTGAACACCATCTCTTTGAGTGCCCAGAACTCAGTGAGACAAGAAGAACGCTACTCCCTCCGAGACCAGACAAGTGGAACACCTTGTACGGAGGAAAAGAACAGCTTGTGAAAACATGCAAATTCCACTACATGCCATTGGGCCAAAGGGCGAAAGCTCATGCGCCGCTGGATCGATAACAACAACAACAACAATTGACAACTAATATATGTGTTTTAATTGGCCACTAATATATGTTGTACATTTGGCAGCTGATGTATGTGCTATATTTAGCAACTGCTTTATGTGCTGACTACTGGACGTAAATTTTCCTAGAAAATAAAACACAGCCAAAAAATGCTGGGGTTGGTTCCTCAACATCCTATAAACGATACGCAACTTTTTATGTGCTGCATTTGGCAACTAATATATCTGCTACATTTGGCAACTAATATATGTGCTACATTTGGCAACTAATATATGTTATGACAACTAAAATATGTGCTGCATTTGGCAACTAATATATGTGCTACATTTGGTAACTTATATATGTGGTACATTTGGCAACTGATGTATGTGCTACATGTGGCAACTAATATATGTGCTACATTTGGTAACTTATATATGTGGTACATTTGGCAACTGATGTATGTGCTACATGTGGCAACTAATACACTTACATTTGGTAACTGATATATATCCTATATTTGGTATCTATATGTACGAACTGCTACTTTTGGCAACTAATATATGTGCTACTCTAGACAACTATGATGTGCAACATATTAGGTAACCATAATGTGTTCTTGGTTAGACAATTATGCAGTGCGACACGTAACAACCCTGATGTGTGCTACAGGTAACAACCCTGATGTGTGCTACACGTGACAACCCTGATGTGTGCTAAATGTGACAACTCTGATGTGTGCTAAATGTGACAACTCTGATGTGTGCAACACGTGACAACCCTGATGTGTGCTATAAATGACAACGTTGACCTATTTCCACAAATTGACCTACCTGTCCACAAACTGACACACCTGTCCCCAAAATGACCCACCTGTCCACAAACTGACCCACCTGTCCACAAACTGACCCACTTGTCCACAAACTGACCCACCTATCCACAAACTGACCCTCCTGTCCACAAACTGACCCACCTGTCCACAAACTGACTCACCTGTCCAGCATCACCACTGTGCTGCTCTCTATCTTCTTGAGCACCTTGAGCAAGTTCTCCCCCTCATATCCTCCTCCCCAGCACAAGCAGCGAGCCAGATCATTGCCCGTTCCCAGTGGCAACACACACACTGGAGGTCGCTGAACAAAATTCACTTTATCTGAAATAGATCCATCACACTGTGTCAGCACTTATCAAACCGCCAGCAAATCTTTGCTGCACATCAAGTGATAATTGAAACAACTATTTCTTCTTCGTCTTAGTGTTGACTGGCTGTAAACTCTGGTTGTTCATCCACTTTCTGACTTTGGTCTCGTTCCAGAACATGAGTCTTGTGCTCACTTTCATTTTACAGATATGACTTACCAGTACGCAGATTGTTCCAGAACATGAGTCTTGTGCTAACTTCCATTTTACAGATATGACTTACCAGTACGCAGATTGTTCCAGAACTTGAGTTTTGCATGCACATCACATACAGATTTGACTAATTTGTAATCAGACTGTTGGTTCTCGCCTGTCACAGGTAGACGCTATCTGACTTTGAAGGAAACACCTCTAATTAGTTGCCTTCTAGGACATGCATGTAAGAGGTCAGTGGGTATATTCTTATTTATCAACATCTAGAAATAGTCTCATTTCCACAGTTATAACATTTCAGCAAACTAATGTTGATGACCTGAACATCTTAAAAATCTACCTAAAGTTTTTCAGGATCCTTGCCAGTGCTACAGAGCCTGTGCACTCGGACCTGAGTTATAAGAAGAACAGAGCACTTTTAAGGGATACTACCCGTGTGCCATGAAGTTGATCCTTTTTTCAAAACCTCAAACATCTGAACTTCCTAAATTTACCTTTATTGTTACTTCTGGCACCTTTCTGTCTATCCAGACAACAAGTGTTAACCTGTGTTGGGGTAGGGGGGGGGGGGGGGTGTGAGAGGGGAGGCATGGGACTTACAGCCCAGAGTGATGGTGACAGTGACCAGCCAGATCTGCCCATGTTAAGAAAAGTCTTCCACGCACACAACATGGGACTTCAGGACGATTGCTGCCATCACATGTATTTAGCAGGCTTCATCTCAAACGCTCAGCTCACAACCTTTCTGCAATAACCATTTCCTTTATTCATTCCCTTCTTGATATTCCCTTTTCATGCAAAACAGTCCACTTCATTCTGCTCCCATTAATCTACTGCAATACTTGTATCATTCATGTACTTTTTGTTAATGACTAGAACATCTAAATTTCTTCTTTGCTTTTACCGGCTGAAAACTCCAAAGGAAACTTCTGGTTGTTTGACCACTTCTGAACTTTGATCTGGATCCAGAGCTTTGTGTGCACATCCATTTTAAATTGTACAGATCTGGATTATTTGTAAACAGTTGGCTCTTGCCTCTCTGGCAGATGGCACCTGACCTAGAAGGAAATCTCTAGTTAGTCAACTTTTGTGGCATGCTTGTTAGGGAGGTAGTGGATATATGCTTCCCTTGCCCTAGAACACACACGAGAATGTTCATAAAACTAAAGCTCATAATAACCCAGCATTAGACATGAGAATACCTTGACACCTCAATATCAGCAGCAAGAGTGATCTGAAATCTTCTTCTTCTTCTTTGTTCACCAGCTGTGAGCTCCAGTGGAGAGTCCTGGTTGTTCGTCAGACTTTGGCTTTATGCCAGAGCCTCAGTTTTGAGTGTACATCCGTTTTACTGGCTTATTTGTGTGCAGTTGGTTGTTCCTTGCCACTCGAGCAGATGCACTCCGACTTTAAAGGAAGCTCCCAATTAATCAACTCTTTTTAGATAGGCAGTGGGTCTACTCCTGTTTTCCCCCCTACGAGCCCCGGAATCCACACGGGAATAACCCTACATAAGAATCATCTAGCTGGTAACATTAAGATAGGAGAATATTGTTTTCTTCTTTTGTCATCTCACTGATGCCAGACTGTAGCCCAGTGTCGTGGTTTTGTCATCTTACTGATACCAGGCTGTAGCCCAGTGTCTTTTTGTCGTCTCACTGATACCAGGCTGTAGCCCAGTGTTGTGGTTTTCAGTATTTTGTCTTGCGCTTCTCGGGTGGCTTCAGTGATGGATTTGTTCATTTTTTTATTTTGTTGTTGTTGCAGGTTTCAGCTACACCAGTTATCCATCTCTTTCTTGGTCTTCCTCCCGCCTTCCTCCAAGATGTTATAATGTAAAAAAGACTTATATGCAGTTTGGTCTGGCTGCATTCTTACTAGATGGCTGAACCATTTCATTCTTTGTCTGTCGATATAATCCAATGGGCTTATTCCAACTTTCTCCCTAATGCTGGTATTCAGAAACCTGTCTGGGCTAGCATTGCTAGTGATGTTGCAGAGCAAAGACAGTGTATGTCACATGTAATTATTTTCTGTTCTAGTGTCCTATTCAGTGTCCATGTTTGACACTGATAACATAAAGTAAGGATAAGGGTGCTATTAATCATCTGCGGCTTTGCTGAAAGGGAGATATTTGGGTGTCTAAGCAGCAGGGCTAACTGGTAGGTGACAGTATTGGCCTTCTGTACTTTTAGCTTCTATCTCTCTGTCGAGTCTGCCATCCTCCGTAAATGTGCTTCCCAGATATCTGAATTCTCGTACTTGTTTGAATGTAGTACTGTTAACATGGATGTTCGTGATATTATGTTTCCTGCCTATCCTCCTTACCTCAGTCTTCATGGTGTTTATTCTCATATCATACCTTATGCAGGTTTGATGTAAGGAGTCAATATAGTGTTGTAAATTCTGTTCTTGGTGGTGTATTACACATTGATGGTCTGCAAAAAGAAGTTCACTGATTTCTTCAGCGTCTGTATTTGCCTCCTGTGTTATTCTATCCATGTAAGTAATGAACAGCAATGGTAAGAGAACACATCTCAGATATTTGCTGAGGTGTGGAGCCCGCCTGTCATTCCTTCTGTTGTTCTTACTTTGCACTGACTTTCTTGTAAAGAGCCATGATGTTACCAAACAGCTGATCTTGAATACTATAATCTTCCATTGTTTGCATCTGTTGACGCGATCGAACGCCTTCTCTTGATCTATATTTTCCACACGACAAAATGGCAGGCAGATGAAGAGACCCACCCATGGTATCCAGGAGCCAGCCTACGGATCCATCTCCTCCACACACAAGCACACGGGCGTTAGGCACATCTTTAAAAAACTGTAACCTGAAGAAGAAAGCGAAGAATGTGAATTAACAATTATAAAAATTAATGTGAGATGATAGATTAATTAACAATTAAAATAATTAATGTGGAACAATAGGTTGATATTTAATTTATGTAAATTTAAAGCTTCTATAAAAAAAATCAATCCTGCAAGCCAGTTAATGTAAAAATGTTGTGTCATTTTCCATAGCAACTTGTGTATGACTCTTGGACTCACCCCACAGATACTCCATCCTTAACCACGTCAACACCCCATAGGTATCCCATCAGGGGTCCATCCTTGACCACATCAACACCCCACAGGTATCCCATCAGGGGTCCATCCTTGACCACATCAACACCCCACAGGTATCCCATCAGGTCCGTCCTTGACCACATCAACACCCCACAGGTATCCCATCAGGTCCGTCCTTGACCATATCAACACCTCACAGGCATCCCATCAGGGGTCCATCCTTGACCACATAAACACACCACAAACACCCACTTACCCAACCAGAGGACCATCCTTGACAACACCAACACACCACAAACACCCACTTACCCAACCAGGGGACCATCCTTGACAACACCAACACACCACAAACACCCACTTACCCAACCAGGGGGACCATCCTTGACAACACCAACACACCACAAACATCCACTTACCCAACCAGGAGACCATCCTTGACAACACCAACACACCACAAACATCCACTTACCCAACCAGGGGTCCATCTTTGACTACACCAACACACCACAAACATCCACTTACCCAACCAGGGGACCATCCTTGACAACACCAACACACCACAAACACCCACTTACCCAACCAGGGGACCATCCTTGACAACACCAACACACCACAAACATCCACTTACCCAACCAGGAGACCATCCTTGACAACACCAACACACCACAAACATGCACTTACCCAACCAGGGGTCCATCTTTGACTACACCAACACACCACAAACATCCACTTACCCAACCAGGAGACCATCCTTGACAACACCAACACACCACAAACACCCACTTACCCAACCAGGGGGACCATCCTTGACAACACCAAAACACCACAAACACCCACTTACCCAACCAGGGGGACCATCCTTGACAACACCAAAAGACCACAAACATCCACTTACCCAACCAGGGGACCATCCTTGACAACACCATCACACCACAAACATCCACTTACCCAACCAGGGGACCATCCTTGACAACACCAACACACCACAAACATCCACTTACCCAACCAGGGGGACCATCCTTGACAACACCAACACACCACAAACACCCACTTACCCAACCAGGGAGACCATCCTTGACAACACCAACACACCACAAACACCCACTTACCCAACCAGGGGTCCATCTTTGACTACACCAACACACCACAAACATCCACTTACCCAACCAGGAGACCATCCTTGACAACACCAACACACCACAAACACCCACTTACCCAACCAGGGGGACCATCCTTGACAACACCAACACACCACAAACACCCACTTACCCAACCAGGGGGACCATCCTTGACAACACCAAAACACCACAAACATCCACTTACCCAACCAGGGGACCATCCTTGACAACACCATCACACCACAAACATCCACTTACCCAACCAGGGGACCATCCTTGACAACACCAACACACCACAAACATCCACTTACCCAACCAGGAGACCATCCTTGACAACACCAACACACCACAAACACCCACTTACCCAACCAGGGGGACCATCCTTGACAACACCAACACACCACAAACACCCACTTACCCAACCAGGGAGACCATCCTTGACAACACCAACACACCACAAACATCCACTTACCCAACCAGGGGTCCATCTTTGACCATGTTATACACCTGACGTGGATTCAACAGGTACTGGAATTTTCGCAGAAGCCTAGGAACAGACAAGGAAACAATCACGATATCAACCCAAAATAAGCCAACTACAGATACTCATGTAAGCAGAGTGAGTGTTCTTTTTCTTCTCCTTAGTGTTTACTCCAGTAGGTAGAGTGAGTGTTCTTTTTCTTCTCCTTAGTGTTTACTCCAGTAGGTAGAGTGAGTGTTCTTTTTCTTCTCCTTAGTGTTTACTCCAGTAGCTAGAGTGTTCTTTTTCTTCTCCTTAGTGTTTACTCCAGTAGGTAGAGTGAGTGTTCTTTTTCTTCTCCTTAGTGTTTACTCCAGTAGGTAGAGTGAGTGTTCTTTGTCTTCTCCTTAGTGTTTACTCCAGTAGGTAGAGTGAGTGTTCTTTTTCTTCTCCTTAGTGTTTACTCCAGTAGCTAGAGTGAGTGTTCTTTTTCTTCTCCTTAGTGTTTACTCCAGTAGGTAGAGTGAGTGTTCTTTTTTTCCTCCTTAGCATTCACTCCAGCAGGTAGAGTGAGTGTTTTTTTTTTTCTCCTTTGCGTTTACTCCAGCAGGTAGAGTGAATGTTCTTTTTTTTTCTCCTTAGCGTTCACTCCAGCAGGTAGAGTGAGTGTTCTTTTTTTTTCTCCTTAGCGTTCACTCCAGCAGGTAGAGTGAATGTTCTTTTTTTTTCTCCTTAGCGTTCACTCCAGCAGGTAGAGTGAATGTTCTTTTTTTTTCTCCTTAGCGTTCACTCCAGCAGGTAGAGTGAGTGTTCTTTTTTTTCTCCTTAGCGTTCACTCCAGCAGAAAGTTCTGGCCGTTCAACCACTTCTGGACTTTGGTCTTGTTCCAGAACTTGAGTTTTGCATGCAGATCCTTTTTAAAGATCTGGTTTATTTGAATGCAGACTGCTGGTACTTATTATTTCAGTTTTTCAATTTCAAAGGAAACTCCCCTGATCTCTAAGTCACTTTGTACAACATGCTGGATTAGGGAGGCAGTGGGTCAATCCCCCACCCCCACCCATCAAGCCCAGGAACCTGCTAGGAAAAGTGAGTGTTCAATCTACAAAAACGGGGGTCTCCATGGCGAAGTGGTCAAGCCGCTTGCCATGCCCTCTGAAGGTCATGGGTTCGCTCCACAGCTGCGCCCTTTAGTTCACAAGTGGAATTTTTACGAAGGTCCCTGGGGATCATCGCTAGAACTAGGGAGTTCATGCTCTGCACAGTGCTCTTGGCAGGTGGCTAGCCGTTCTGAGGAGAAAGACTGAGCCAAATAGGATAAAACCCGATGCAATGAAATTGATCCTCTTAACTTTAACCTTTACCTTCAATCTATACAAACAATATTTTTGGTGACGGTTCCCTTCATCAACACATTTCCTTTCAAGGCAAAATCATCATCATGTATCAAATTGTTACCATAAATGGAAAAAACCTTTCTTTCATCTCAGCCAATTGGAAAGACTCTGCCTCTTAAAGTCCATATCTTATGGCACTGGTTGTCATATCTATCCACAACCTTTTGTCCCCTGTACCTTCAATCAATTGTGACACAGAGGATCTTCCATGCCATGATGTCAAACTTTCCAGCACATTTTCTCTCTGCCTCGTTTCCCCTCCAACTTTCCCTTTATCACAATGTACTCCAGTTTTCTCCTTCTTTGGACAGGATCAAAGCATGCAAATTGTCTCCTCCTGATGTGTGCAATCAGTAGATTGTCTCCTCCTGATGTGTGCAATCAGTAGATTGTCTCCTCCTGATGTGTGCAATCAGTAGATTGTCTCCTCCTGATGTGTGCAATCAGTAGATTGTCTCCTCCTGATGTGTGCAATCAGTAGATTGTCTCCTCCTGATGTGTGCAATCAGTAGATTGTCTCCTCCTGATGTGTGCAATCAGTAGATTGTCTCCTCCTGATGTGTGCAATCAGTAGATTGTCTCCTCCTGATGTGTGCAATCAGTAAATTGTCTCCTCCTGATGTGTGCAATCAGTAGATTGTCTCCTCCTGATGTTTGCAATCAGTAGATTGTCTCCTCCTGATGTGTGCAATCAGTAGATTGTCTCCTCCTGATGTGTGCAATCAGTAGATTGTCTCCTCCTGATGTGTGCAATCAGTAGATTGTCTCCTCCTGATGTGTGCAATCAGTAGATTGTCTCCTCCTGATGTGTGCAATCAGTAGATTGTCTCCTCCTGATGTGTGCAATCAGTAGATTGTCTCCTCCTGATGTGTGCAATCAGTAGATTGTCTCCTCCTGATGTGTGCAATCAGTAGATTGTCTCCTCCTGATGTGTGCAATCAGTAGATTGTCTCCTCCTGATGAGTGCAATCAGTAGATTGTCTCCTCCTGATGTGTGCAATCAGTAGATTGTCTCCTCCTGATGTGTGCAAACAGTTTTCTTTATTAACTTTCATGAAAGACTCTCAATCCTTTGCTAATTCCCATCTCAGGTATGTGAAGCAGAATGTCTCTCTAATGTCCAATCTTGATGCTGGTCGACTCCTGTCTCTTTCTTCCAGAACTAATGCCTTTCATTAGTGTTTTTTCTTTCTAAACCACTGTGGTGTTCATCCCTTAGTCATGGCTCCAACTTTAGGAAAATGAGGCATCTCACAATTACTCTGTTCCTGTGTGAAGGTAAACCAAACCAAATGCCTATCACTGTCCCCTGTGAACAGAGAAACAGATAGCAGTTTTCCCCCCCCCCCCCCCCAACCTCATTCCCCCACACAAAAACGCAACTATATGGTGTTAGGTATGACCAAATCATTTCACTTTCTGTCAATGTCCACACACATTCTACAAATTATCCAGTAATTATCAATAGTGCCCATTTTACAACAGAAGCACTAACACACAAAACCCCCCATCTTTCTCTGCCTACCCCTTGTTGAACAAGTGTATAAAGATTTAGTCCTGTCCACTTCTTGATGTTGTCTTTCCAAATCTTCTTTTTCCCCCTCTTCGACTATCCCCAATGTTCCTTGTATAGTCTTTGTAATTGAACTGAACTAGCTTGTGAAATTTCAACACTGCCAAAAGACTCAAGATGTCTTGCAAATTTGTTTATATTCTCTCACCACGTATCCGAACAAAACTAGCTTGCAACATTTCAGTACTGCCAAAAGAAGTTCCTGATGTCCTGCAAATGTGTTGATTATGTCTCACCATGTGTTTCGAACAAAATTAGCTTGCAACACTTCAATACTGCCAAAAGAGGTTCCTGATGTCCTGCAAATCAGTTAATCTTGTCTCTTACATATTTGTTAGTTTTAGATTCTAAATAGCTAATTCATTAAATGTGTCTACAGCACAGACATACTGATGCATGAGGCTTGTTGCAAAACATCTTCAGCTGGTCTGAAGCTGTGATAGAAACAGAATAATAAAAGAGCAGAAAAGGATGAAGAGGAAGTCCATACCTTGCACCTTGTTTGCCTCCACTCTTTGGGTTGATGAATATTAACAAGGGATGAGTTCCTTCCAATGGTGTGATTTGAAATGAGTTTTGACCCTGTTATAAAAAAAATTATATTTAAGTAGTGGTGGTGGTGATGGTGGTGGTGGTGATGATGGTGGTGGTGGTGGCGGTGGTGGTAGTAGAGTTTCAAACTTCACTGCAAACAGGTCACCCCACAACTGCTCCCTTCCTGTGCCTGTGAAAATCACATGAACTGCCCTTTGCTGTCCCTTTTTTAAACTAGTGCATATTTAAGTACTTATGGACTAAATCCAGAAACATGCAACATGCAGTTACTGCATACAGCAACCGCCAGGTGTGCCAACCCAACACCAACAGTTGTCACCAGAACTGCAATTTGTCGCTGATGGAAGAAGTCAGCCACACTGAGCTAGCTGTACACACCAATATTAACGCATAAGATACTTGACCATATCGAATGTAAACTGGCCACCAGCCATTTTGAATTTTCTGAATGGCAAAATGTTTCTTCTTAGTTCTTCTGTCCTAATGTTTATGCTGTAAAGCATTGCACAATGAAGAGAGTAGTTTCTGCCTTTTGCTAGTTGTGTAGCTTGTGCTAACAGAGAGGGTATCTGTATGCTGCTAATAGAGAGGCCATCTGTATGCTGCTAACATAGAGAGCATCTGTATGCTGCTAACAGAGAGAGCATCTGTAAGCTGCTAACAGAGGGGCCATCTGTATGCTGCTAACAGAGGGGCCATCTGTATGCTGCTAACATAGAGAGCATCTGTATGCTGCTAACAGAGAGAGCATCTGTATGCTGCTAACAGAGAGAGCATCTGTATGCTGCTAACAGAGGGGCCATCTGTATGCTGCTAACATAGGGAGCATCTGTATGCTGCTAACAGATAGGGCATCTGTATGCTGCTAACAGAGGGGCCATCTGTATGCTGCTAACAGAGAGGGCATCTGTATGCTGCTAACAGAGAAGGCATCTGGCTCTGTCAACCTCAATCCAAAACAAAAAAACAGAGGGAGTCCTTGAGGCTGTAGAAATATCATATATAATAAACAAACAGACAATGTAGTGATCGGCAATTATAGATAGAAGTAGAAAGATAGAAGGACACACTAGACACCAAAAAAATCTTTAGTTAATGTGTTGGGAATCGAACCTGCCACCTCCAGATAATGTGTGTGCCTCACTATAGAAACAAAAGTACTAAAGTACATGACTAACTAGGCACCCCCACCCCCTCCCCCCCCCACCCAAAAAACAAGGTGTCTTCAATGGATATGTCTATCTAAAGCTTGAAATCCACACTTACAGAATTCATCTCAAACCACTAAAATGGCACCATAGGTTACAGAAATGTATGTTAAACAAGCATAGCTCCAATAACAACAATCTTAACATGTAGTCCATGGTGACAGCCCTAGCCATACGACCCTAAACCATCATGCCGAACCGACACCCCCTCCCCCACACACACAGCGAAAGTGGTAAGTACAAGCAGTAATGGCAGTTTTTAAAAATAAATAAATACAGTAAGGCTGTATCAAAGAACACGGATACATTAAAGATAGCATAGAGTAGATAGATACCCTAAAGTAAAGCTACTGTAAAATTGTTGTTTGCTTTTAAATGAGATCAGCAAGAATATGGACAACTAAGGGACATAGATAAACATGAACTTCCTTACTGGACTGACCGGCGCATCAGACTGACCGCTCTCTGACAGAGGAGTTGTGGCGGTTTCATCCTCCCCTTTCTCACCATCCTTCTCCAAGGTACTTTTACCACTGCCACCTCCTCGCCCTCGGTCCTGTGTGGATACAAGAAAACACATCACAGCATGTGCACACAGGTCAAACAGTGAGATGAACTGAGCCTTCTCTTTTGTCTGTATTCACTAATTTTTAGGGCAGTGTGAGATGGAAAAGGTCATGAGTGTGAGTACACCTTGTCCTTGACCTAAGACCTATATGATTTATGACCATCTGCAATTATGACCACACAAAAAACTAATTAAATTCGAAAGAAAGAAATATAACTAGATTGCTGGGGTCAAAAAGTGTTCAGAACTGATGCAACAGAGTACATATATTCTTTTTTTCCACATTATGTACATTGATTATATGTATATAGATTGCATTGGGGTGGGGTGGGGGTGGGGGGGGGTGGGAGGAGGGGTGCTCCCTAGACCAATCTCTTTCTGGTCAGCCTCTTAACTCGTAGCCTGCTGTTCTAATGCAGTACGCTCTAACTGCAGACTAATTTTGTTCCAGATAACAAACCAATTGATTCTCTGATGTTCCATCAAATCATTTACCCACACTGTGCCTACCGCAGTTCCTAGTTCTTCACTGGTGGCTCTGCCTCTTCCTGTTTATCCTGCCGTGCCCGTGATGCACCAATCCAATCCAATCCAATCCAATCCAGTCAATCAGTGTGTCCTTTCTAGAATGTCACTCCTTGCACATCAGGCTTAAAAGTCTCCTTCTCTAGGCAACTATACAGCCCTGTGTGCTTTCATAGCCAATGTATCTTTAACGTCCCTGAATGTGTTCCAGGAAACTGTACCCTCCATCACCATTCTCTCCAGACAATCAGCGCGCCCGACATGTCCAGAATACCGCAGCTTTTGGGACAGGATGCTGTTTATGAGCCAGTTCTCCTTTATGTTCAGGTCATGCAGGATGGCAACATCTTTCAATGATACACCAGTGGTGTAAAAATGGTCTTTACTTTTTTTTTTCTTTTTTATTTCCTCCGTGTTCAGATGAACTATAATGTCAGTAATTTTTGTCTCCAGGACTCCTGATATTATAAGAACTTTTCAGTAACACTAAAATTCAAAGCACTTGATTTTTCAAACTAGTCATAATATACTATAGAGTCCTTACATATGAATCATACGCAGTTATCATATATTAAGACATACAAATGAAACATACCAGCAAAGTAAAGTAAAGGACCCTTTTCCACACCCTCAGACATATTGGGTATATAGGGCTAGACCTATATTTTATATTTTTTTTTAACACAATGTGTGAAAGAGCTTGAAAAAGTTTCTAATCCTGTTATCATCAAACTTGTTAACTCTTTGGTACAATTTTATTTTTTAACACAATGTGTGAAAGAGCTTGAAAAAGTTTCTAATCCTGTTATCATCAAACTTGCTAACTATTTGGTACAATGTGGCATGAATGGAAACCCTCCATCAGTTTCCCAACATTGCAGGGAATCACATGGACATACTGTCGGGACATGCAGGAGTATGAGGGAATAAAAGAGCTGATCCGGCTACAAAAGCGATAGGTACGGGAACACTCGTATTGGACAATGAAGATATTCTGAAAACCATATACAAACGAGTGTTGACAGAAGACATGAAATTAGATGAAACAACATGTGCAAGAATGTGTAAGCGAGACATTGGGAGTGGATCCAGCAAGGAGGGATGTATGAAAGGAAGAGAACCCTGGGTGTATAATCAGTGTGCTACAGAAACAGCGTCTAGACCTTAAGACATTTGCTGCAGGAGACGGAGCATCTATGGGCATGCATGTTGTGCTACGATGTCGATTCTTAAATCAGCAATCATTAATCAAACTCTTTGGCACTAGCCAGGACCCTGTTTGCGCCACTGCTGCATCAGCTAAACCTATATTTGTGTAGGCCAGTTGGCACTTGCTGGGTGATATGGTCAGCATCATGCTGGCCACCTTGACCAGGACATTGCCTGGTACCAATTTGAAGCTGGGTGGACCTTGAAGCCAAGGTCAATTTTGAAGGGGGAAAAAAATGCGGACTTGAATCCTACACCTTCAGGCCAGTAGGCGAGCATCTATCCACTTCACCAGAGTGGATGCCTTTAATGTGAAGGCAGAACAACATTTATTTATTTATTTATCATGAATACGGCACAGAACAGAAAATAACTGTCTGTGAAATGAGATGTCTCTGCAGGGTCACTAACAACACAAATAGACAGGGTAACAAATACCAACATCAGAGAAAAATTTGGAATAAGACCGTGTCTGAATTGTACTGACAAAGAATGAAATGGTTCAGCCATCTAGTGAGAATGCAGCCAGAGCAAACTGCATATGAGATTTTTTACAGCAGAATCTCTGGGAGTAGGCAAGAGGAAGACCAAGAAAGATATGGATAAATGGTGTAGCCGAAACCTGCAAAAAGATTAACAAATCCATCACCCAAGCCACCCGAGAAGCACAAGACAAATACAGAAAATCATGAAAGTGCGCTACAATGCGACAACAAAAGAAGAAGAAGAAAATCATTTTACTGCTCTTGTTAAAAAGGAAAGAAAGAGGGCTAACTTCTAAAAAAAACTAAATAAATTTTCTTGTCAAATGCTAAACAAAAGCAAAAGCGGAAATTATGTGTGTCTGTAAACTGTCAGACATAATTAGCAACAGCAGAAGTGAAAGGCGCTAGTAAAACTAGGTTAACAATGTCAGATTTCGTTCCGCAACTGCTAACAGAAATGGGCCATGAATCATGGGGGAATTCTCAGAAATAAAATTCTTCAAATAAACAACGCTACACAGGTCACTGCGGCATCAGTGGCTTGGGCCTTACGAGTCCGACTCGTAATTCCAACGTACCGCGATCGAAACCCACTGCTGGCTGCGTGGATTTTTATCATGGTATGGGGCTTTGCAGATCAGTTCAGCTTAAAATGGGTACCAGGATGGCTGTTCTGGGGAAGTAGAGACGGTTGGCGTAATGCTGACCACATTACCCACCCAGTGCCGATTGGTCTGTAAAAATATGGGACGCTCTTCCCATATGCCCGATGCGCCTAAGGCGTGAAAAGGGATCTGTAATTTTTTTTTTAATACAGGTAACTAATAAACTTTAAAGGTCCTATACACGTTTCCAGGCCAATGATTAGAGTAACTTCCCTTGCTATTAATACCTCCTTAGGTCACTGGACATCTCCTATGTTGCAGGGGTGTTATGATATGGCTTGGTTTGGCGATCGCTCGGAGTATGTAATGTTGGTGGGAGGTTTTGTTGTTGTGAGTCTATTGTAGGCACCACTGGTGCATGTGTACA